CTTCTCCCATAGTGTCGTCCTCCCCTTCTCCCATAGTGTCGTCCTCCCCTTCTCCCATAGTGTCGTCCTCCCCTTCTCCCATAGTGTCGTCCTCCCCTTCTCCCATAGTGTGTCCCCCTCCCTTTCTCCCATAGTGTCTCCCTCCCCTTAACCCATAGTGTCCCCCTCCCCTTAACCCATAGTGTCCCCCTCCCCTTAACCCATAGTGTCTCCCCTCCCATTGTCCCATAATTACTTACCTGTCTTGGAGCGTGGGCCGGCTTCACAGCGCGCCCCGCCGTCCAGGAACTTCTATTTCAGGTTCCGGTTTCCGGCGGGACTGAAAGGAAGTGTGCACACTGAGTGTGCACTTCCTTTCAGTCCCGCCGGAAACCGGAACCTGAAATAGAAGTTCCTGGACGGCGGGGCGCGCTGTGAAGCCGGCCCACGCTCCAAGACAGGTAAGTAAATCTTCACATTCGCTACATAAGACGCACAGACATTTCCCCTCACTTTTGAGGGGAAAAAAAGTGCGTCTTATGGAGCGAAAAATACGGTACATATTTGGAATCAGCACACTTAAAACATAAACATAACCAAAAATCAGCCAAATACATCCAGGGGTTAAAAAGTTAGCTGGAGGTCCCTTTATGACCGACCGCAAGCACATTTTCCTGCCCAAAACAGTTCCATAGATTTGGGCTGTGAGGTCGGCCTATTTCAGGCTGAAAAAAAGACTAAGTCCCATCGCCGAATGGGACTTAGTCTCTGCAGCTGTAAAACCAGTAGGGGAGAAGGTAGAGCTCAGCGGTGTTCGCGGAAATGTGTAGCCGATTTTAGTTCCATGAATTTGGCTACACATACCGCTGACCTCGTTCGCATTAACAAAGATGGCTGCCGCCACGTGTTCGGCAAACGAACAAAGGCCACCCAGCATTGTCAATTAAGCTGCGGTTAACCGCAGCTTCTGGGAGGTAAATTGCCTGCACACTTCCACTTCTGGGTGGTCTGCCTGTGTGGTACTTGGTTCAGTAAGCCCCATTTACTGAACCAAGTGGGAATTAGCCAGGTAGGCACAAAGGGTTTGCACCAGGTCTGGGGACACAGGGGACACCGTCTTAAAGGGGCAGTGTCCCCAACAAGTCTGGGGACACGGTCTTAAAGGGGCAGTGTCCCAATCTTCCTGATGTCCCAAAAAAGGTGCTTAAAGGGCCAGCACCAGTCACATAAAGAGTCCATAAGCCCCAATATGCCCACTGACAGTCTTAAAGGCCATACACACCAAATAAAAGTGCATACATTTTCACAATCTCCCAGGGGCCATAGTCATGCGGGAGGAGGCTGGCAAACAGGCTTCTCCACAACCCAGGGAAGCAGGGCAATTTGCCATTTAAAGGGCCCGTTACAAATAGCAGTTTGTAACAAGGTGACAATCCATATCTGCCAAGTGACCCTATGTAGGGGAAACAGTCCCTATTCTGCTCTGTGTCAGTGTGTATCATGGTCTCTGAGGACAGGTGTCAAACCATATCTGCCAAGTGACCCTATGTAGGGGTAACAGTCTCCCTATTCTGCCTCAAGCCAGTGTGTCATGGCCTCTGACATTGTGGTGTCAATCCATATCTGCCAAGTGACTTCTCCTATGTAGGGGACCAGTCCCTCATTCTGCCTTGTAAGGTCAGTGTGTGGCCTGTGGAACTTGTATTGTGGTGCCAAATCCATATCTGCCAAGTGATCCTATGTAAGTGCAGCCAGTCCTTATTCTCTGCCTTGTGTCAGTGTGTGTATCAGGATCCTTAGGATAGGTGTCAATCCATATCTGCTAAGTGACCCTATGTAGAGGGACCAGTCTCTATTCTGCTCTGTGTCCGTGTGCATCAGGGGCTCTGAGGACAGGTGTCAGTCCATATGTCAAGGTGTCAATATGTCATATGTCAGGTGTCAATCCATATTCATTGTGATTTAGGAATGTTAGGTGATTTCTGCCCTTTATGGATTAAAACCAGACTCTGTATCAACTGTGTAATTTTACATGGGAGTTTTGCCATGGATCCCCCTCCGGCATGCCACAGTCCACGTGTTAGTCCCCTTGAAACAACTTTTCCATCACTATTGTGGCCAGAAAGAGTCCCTGTGTGTTTTAAAATTCACCTGCCCATTGAAGTCTATGGCGGTTTGCCCGGTTCGCGAACATTTACGGAAGTTCGCGTTCGCCGTTCGCGAACCGAAAATTTCGGGTTCGCGACATCACTAATTGCAGTTAGTGCAAAACTAGATGAACTGAGTGGGTGAATTCTCCAGTTATAGTTGTTATGGAATTGCCTGGAACCTCGCAATTTAAATAAGGCAATAAAAAGATAACATTTTAAGTTTCTTACTTGTGAAGCGATCAGGTCACAAATTGTAAAAGCTAAATATGTCAGTAAAATTGTATGCTTTCTCAAGATTTCAGCAATTGAAGGTCAGATTGAAATTGTATACATTGAACTCACCTTGCGCCAGATACAGATTCTTAAGATTACCATTTGGCCTTTCATCTGCCTCAGAAGTAAATCATAACATCTTTCACATGCTATATGAGAATGCTGAAGGTATGGACATATCCATTGATTACTTTATCATATGGGGAATGTCTAAGTAAAACATGATTCACATATAAGAAAGGTTCTATAACCTATTCAACAAGCAAACCTAATGCTAAATAAATAAAAAATGTCAGGAGTTAAAGTTTGTTGGAGACATCTTCAGCAGGTGTTAGACCTGATGTTATGATAATATCTGCAATTTTACATACAAAGAAACTACAAAACAAAAAAGATGTGCAGAGGTTTATAGATATTGTAAACTACATAGTAAAGTTTATACATAACCTGTCAGAGAATATAGCTCCTCTAAGATGGTATCTTGAATCTGGAGCAAGAACCAGTGTGTTCACACAAAAGCAGTGCTTACACAGGAACCGGTACTAAGGATTTGTGATCCTACTAAATACATTAAGATATTGTTTGATGCACAAACTTGATTAACCTCTTCAGAGGCGGCTCTAGACTTTATGAGGCCTTAGGCGA